GAGAGCAGGTGTGATTTGAGGTGAGGCTAGAGAGGGAGGCTGGGTCGGATCGTGCAGGTCCTGCAGGTCAGGGTGGGATAATGGTCTTCAATCAATGAGTTAGGTAAAGCATATAGAAAAGTTCCTGGCGCAGCATAAATGTTGATATGATGTTATTATTCTGATTTACTTTTTAAACTATATTATTAAATCATATTAAATGTTAACTATTACTATTTATTTTAAGTGCAAAAGGGAGCCACTAAAGGATTTAGGCAGGGCTATGACATATGATGTAGCCAAATTTGCATTTTGTAGCCTTATTCTGGCTGTTGTGTAGAAAACAGATTTGAGAGAGGAGGGGGATGCAAATGGCTATGAGAAGACCAGAAGCAGGTATAGTTAGTGATCTAACGGATGTCAGAACAGACGCAGGGGGTCATCCAGTAGCCTGTGGCTTATTGGTGCCCACAGCCCATAACTCAAGAGTACATAACTCTCAGGATCTCTAAGTTGTGCAAGATTGTGTAAATCCGTGCATAGCTACTTTTTCAGAAGTTCTGACCTATCCAGTTTTGGATATTCAAGGGATCTACTGCTGAATCTACTAGTTGGTCTACTTTGGGAAGATTTCAGTATAGACTTTTAAATAGCTTGTAGAATCAGTCAGGACGGCCAAGCTTTCAGAAATGTCCCCGAACGCCCATGCTTCAGAAGGGGCCTCCACAAGAGCTGTTGCTTCTGCCTCAATCAGGAAGCTGAGGAATGAGGAAGCTACCCTCTGTTGCCCCTGTAGCTCCTCTACGATCCCTTACCAACTTACCAACCAAACAGGATGTGCAAATGGATGCCTAGAAAGCTAGCAACTAGGCACTAAGACCTCTGACACAACTGCCACTGAACATGTATATGCCTCCAAGATCATGCCTCCTGACACTATGGTCTGCCTTTGATTGGTAGAACCTTAATCATATTCAGAACCCTGGCTGCATAGCGTTTAGCTTTTTAGTTCTGAAGTACAGGAACAGTCACCAGAGGGATGTTGGAATGCTTCTTTTGAGCCCATTCACAGGATGCACCATGAAACTTAACTATGTTCATCCTGATGCTAGACAGTCACCAAGGATTTACGTTTACCACCCCGCAATACTAGCTGTGTATGTTTCGGCACTCAGAGAGCTTCAATAGCTTCATTGATTAAATTGGAGGTAATGATATTTATCTCCCAGGGTTCTTGGGGGAATGAAATTAAATATGATAACATGCAGAAGAGCAGCAAGATGCTGGGCACATGGCAGGCAGTCAGTAAACGAGGCATCCGTCAGTCAATGAACACCATCCGGTAACTCTATAGAGGAAACAGAATCCTTGAAAGACGGAGATAAAGTCAAGATTACTGCTATAGAGATCTCATGGCCTGAGTTGATGTGGCCCTTGCACAGTCATATGGACTTCTGGGAGCATATTTGCCTCTGGAAAAGTAGGTGGGGCTTGTGTGTGTGCTATTTCATTTATTTGCTTGTGTTATTTCTTTAGTTTTTAATTAAAAAAATAATGCATGTGTATAAACAATGAAAAAGAAAGCCCCACTTTTCAGTTTCTTGACCATCCTTCCTGAAATATACTGTCCGAAGAAGCATATATGTAATATAGATTCTTCCTTTTTTCTCCTAAAAAAAAATTGGGTCATATTATATACATATTTTGCACCTTTATTTATTTTACTCATTCCCTTAGAGAGAAATCCATTTTAGCTCATATAGAACTAATCACCTATTGATGGCAGCTAGTTGTTTGCATTCATTTGCTTTTGCAAAATTTGCTCTAACACCCATTCTTGTACACAAGTGACTATGTCTGTAGAATAACTTTTAGAAGTCGAAAGGGTAGGTCAAAGGTTTATAAAGGTTAGCTTGTAGTTTGACTGATGTGGCTCTCAGAACAGTTGTCCTAGGTTATGCACCCTTTTTTTTTTGATGATGAAGATTGGCCCTGAGCCAATCTGTTGCCAATCTTCCTCTTTTTTTTCCTCCCCAAAACCCCCCAATACATAGTTGTGTATCCTAGTTGTGGGTTCTTCTAGTTCTGCTGTGTGGGGCACCACCTCAGCATGGCCTGATGAGCAGTGCTAGGTCCGTGCCCAGGATCCGAACTGGTGAACCCTGGGCCTCCAAAGTGGAATGAGCAAACTTAACCACTTGGCCACAGGCCGGCTCCCTAGGTTATGCTCTTTACCAATCTTGTATAAGCAGCATTTGTGTCTACATCCTCACTATAATGTATCATCAACCCTTTTGATTTTTGCCAATGAGATAAGGAAAGTAAAGAGGTGATACCAGGATAGAACAAGAGTGGTCCTGACCAAGGGATAGAGATTAATTGGAGGATAGGAGGTGAGAGAAGGTAGGACTTAAATTTAGAAGGGGAACTAACAGCCTTCTGACGCTGAACGATGTGCCAGGCAATGACTTGACCAGGCAGTGCACCTGTTACTACGTTCAATCCTTATAACCACACTAACTCACTGTTAAAAGACAAAATTCAACTGAGTAAATGTTAAAGATCTTACTGGCTTTATTCAATGATTCATGAATTGGGCAGCATCCAATCTAGCAGACAGAAAGGAGCTCCAAGGAGCTGTACAAAATGAAAGCCTTTTACAGGCAAGAGGGAGCAGGAAGAAGGAAGTTTTACTAGACAAAAAAGCAGATTGGTTATTGCAAGGTTACTCTCCTTTAGGGGATGGCAGGGGTCTGTCAGGCAGATGACCTAACTAGTGCTGATTAGGTGATTTCTAATTGGCTTATTTAAGATTCCATTTCTCGGAGAGCCAAAACTATAATTAAGTCTTGGTTCAGTGATGTGGGGCTTAGCATAAGCAACTCCATTTTGAGCCTGTTGTCTTGTTTTTAACACCATAAACATTATTATTCTCCATTTGACTCTGATGCCCAGTCTCTGTCCACTATACTTCCTATGTCCTTCTTATTTTACGGGTGAGGGAACCAAGGCCCAAAGAGGTTAAGTGATGTACCCAAGATCCCAGGGAAAGTTAAGTCAGGACAAAGGTTCCATTTTCCAGCTCCCTGTATGCTATGTTAGGCCAGAATTACAGTCTGTATGTACCAATGAGGCCACAAAGGGTCTGAAAATACCTTCAGGGGGGTCTTTCATCCGCAGTTTGAGTTTTAACAGTTGAGTTTAATTTAGTTATTTCCTATAATCAAAGAGGTTCCATTCTAGTTGAGTGGACATGATCTTCCACACATTGGTGTTTTCACACTGGTGATAGGTTCTCTGTAAAGTTCTTCCTCAGAGATTCTATGTTCTTTTCCACAAGAACTACTATATTTACCCAAGGAGCACTCTTGACCAAAGCTATATGAGATGAAAGCTCTAAGCTTCTCGGGAGTTTAAGATTTTCTTATGAAGGATTACTCAGCCCCTCTAGAATTCTACCCGATGTCCTTTGGAATCTTAAAATTGGCCTGTAAAACCCTCCTTCAAATGCTCTTGGAGACTGGGACTGGCACCTGTGACCTCTTCCTCATTGTTCGCTGCTGCTTCAGAGTCTGGGATCACTGAGATTAGAGGTTTCAGCCAGGATTCCCTCATCCTTATTCCCCATGTGTTCTCAGAGTCCCGGCTGTCTTCCTTGTATATCTGGGCAGTTTCTAGTTGAATCACAAATGTGAGGTGTCAGACTTTCCAATTTAATGATGATAAGAGACATTCAATTAACTAGGAGATGACTCTTAAATGGCACAGAAATTGGGTTGATCATCCTTATTGGAAGGGTGGGATGATGACTGAGAATGTCATATAAAGAAGAGAATAAGAAGAAAACCTTTTATCTGGAAAAATTACACTGGGCCAATGATTTTTTTTTTAAATGAAGAAAGCCCAACTTTTGAGGTGTCCCAACTGGAAAACATCTTGATGATGGTCATTCTTGTAGGGTAGAGCCGTGGTGTTCTGGAGAAATAGCTACTGAATCTCTTTGCCCAAAGCAAGGAAAGTGTCAGTGTCACAGAATGGAATTGGAAAGCTGTAGTCATCTTAGAAATTAACTAGCCCAAAGTCCAATTTTACAGAAAAGGAAACTGAGGTATAGCAAGTATATGTGATTTAGCCAAGAAAATACTTCTGGTGAGTGTAAGCTGGAGTTAGAACCAAGCTCTCCTGTCTTTGTTCATTGTATGGCTCAATTGCCATTACGTAATCCACATTTTATAATCTGCTGAGAGAATATGATTGTTTGGGATTTTGTTAGTTTCTTTTCCTAAAGTGGACAGAGACTTATTTTCAAAGCTATCCTAAACAGACCTGTTCTTAACTAAAGAAAGGAGTGCATCAACGAGAAAACGAGTTACTTAAAGAAATGGCTAAGAACGTGGATTGAACTATTTTTACATAGGAAGCTTAGCTGACAGGTAGGATGTGTGATCTTTTGTTTTAGAAATTGCTCTTCCACTTTGGTTTTGCAATAAATGAATAAGGACAATGTATTTATACTGTCTACTGAAGCCAGGAAACTAAGTCGTGTTTTCTTTGTGAATGATCAACTGCTTAGGACTTGTTTCAGATTAATGATATAAATAATCTAACAAGGTCCTTCATTGTACTTTTCTTGGAGCAAACAAAATGCAATGTGCTTTTATAACCAGATGGCTATTTGATTTTTTTTTCTCTTTCCCACATTTGGATATAGATTGATATAGAATTACTTAAAATGCTGCATATAAATTAAACATTAAAAGGGAGATACGGAGAAGGAAAGCTGCCCCATTGTAATCTTTCGTTCCGCAGTCACTGCCTCAAGGACACTCCATTTCATATCACATGTCCTTCTTTTGAAAAGTGATCACCAAGGTTCAAGTAACATTTAAGCATAGCAGGCAACTGCATAATTTATGGACCTTGTTTTGTTTTCTGTTCTTATTTTAAGGAAAAATGAGAAAACAGCAGACTTTTCATGCATTAACTCCCTTTGTGTTCTTCTTTGCCTCCTGTCTTTGCAGATCGGAGCCCTGAAGGACTACTACCACTTCTACCATAGCAGGACGATTAAAAGGTCAGTTCTCTCAAGCAGAGGAACCCACAGTTTCATTTCAATGGAACCAAAGGTAAGAAGAACCAGTTGGGTGGGGACCAAGAGGCAAAGCTTCTGCATTTTTAATTGGTAATGTCACACTGGGAACTGGTGACCGGCGTGAAGGCTCAAATTTCAAGAGCTGTCCTCCCATCCTTTGGTCCAGTGTCTTTGCTTCCTCTTCAGACAAAAATAGACAATGGCTTGATTTTTACTGGAGTGCCATTATCATCTCAGTTGTATAATAGCCCTGGGGTTATATCATAAGTAGGGGTTGTCATGGAGAAATGAGGAGTATGTGTGTGAGGAGACAGATTGATTCACAAGTATTGAAGTATTAAGAATAAGACTGTGCCATCTATCTATTTGTATACAGATCTGAGGTTCTATCTGAGCTCCAGAGAGGGGCCTATTCCAGAACCCTTAGGTCACTAGGAATCCTGGCAATTTTTGCTGCATTGATAGAGCCATGCCATTAGCAGCCCAAGGACTAGACCATATGTGGGACAGAAAGGATACTGAACACAGAAGGGATAGAAGCTGGCCTCTCCTCTTGGGGGCTCAGCAGGTATCTTTCTTGCACGTTGTCTTTACTCTGAGTCCTTTTGGGTTGTACAGACAACGAAGCCCCAGGAGTACCTAGAAGGAGATATGATATGTCCAGGTCCTCCTATAACATTTTAGAGAGGTGGGACAGCTTTAAACTGGGAGATAGGAAACTGAAGGGTGTTAGGGACAAACAGAGTAAGAACTGGCAATTAAAACTCTGAGGGTGAGTTAAATGTCTGTCCTTATTAAGTTAGAGGAAGGGACTGACTGACAGAACTACTTGGCCTCCCAGATGTGGCAAGTCAAAAGGAAGAAAGGGCAGCTGTACCCACCTGCCCAGTTCCTCTGTGTGCTCACTGTTTATTATTTATTGATTAGGAAGGGTTTTTTTTTTTTCCATTTTGATTTGGGTTTGCCATATGAACTCATTTCCCTACCAGTGAGCAGTAATCTCACCTACAGATTCTTCAAAAATTGTATTCCTTATTAAAGCACAAAGGTCCCTATTTGAATTAACATGCAAATCAGATTTGCAATTTGGAGTTCTGCACTCTGTTATGTGCCGTGGTCCGCCACCTTTAACTTTTTTCTAGAATATTATCACACAGTACTCATGATTGTGAATTTGTTTCTTGGTGGTTAGAAAAAGCACATTTTTTGTAGGTCCCAATTTTCTGGGGGTTATAGGAACATCCCCTAATACATTATGGTGACCTGTGGACTGTATTTTTTTTTCTTATCATCTGTATTCATAATTGAATGTTTCTGGAAAAGCAGTCTGTCAGGACGTTTCTGAATTAGCTAAGTTTTCAAAGCGAAGTCACGTTTTTCATCTGTTAACTTTTCCAAGCTTTCTTGAACTTTGGTAATTAAAATGATTCCAATTTCAGACCTCATGTGCATAGTCAATGTGAATTTGAAAAACCAAGTACTAGTTGGTTTGGGAGGTAAGAACAGAATTTAATGAGGCATTGTTTTCATGATGAAGGATTTACCCAAATATGGAGCTATTTCAATCCTTAATGTTATCTTGGGGAATCTTGGTCTTCACTTCTTCTTATCTCAGTGCATCGAATAGTTTATGCAGGATCCAACAGAGACCTTGGATGCTGGAACACATAGTACCTGGAATGGATGTCCTTCCTCATCCGTCCAGAGGAGCAAGGCCACTTTAGGCCAGCCCTCGGGTGCATGCTCAATTCCCCTCCCTTGTTATAAAAAGAATACCCCCTATAGGACCGGATCTTCCTCTTCATTCTGATGCCTCCTGCCTGTGATTCCCACCCAGCTGTTTATCCAAGAGCCACAATTCTACCATCTTTGCAGATAGAGTACCACAGATTGGGGTTTGCCCATAGTTTTTCAAATATTTCTTAAAGTTCATTCATCCATTCAATGGCCATTTCTTGAGCCTCTAGTATATGCCAGGCCCTGTGTTAGGCTTTGGGGATTTGGAGATATAGTGGTACCCTGAGGGAACTCGCTACAGGGTCTCCCACAGTAGCTTTCAGGGAAGCCCAGGACATTACACTGCTTCTCAGTGTTGGGGATGGAGGAGCAAAGGAGATGGAGGTTGTCACATTCCGCCTCCTCCTCCAGCTCCTTCCTCAAAAAGCTCAGGCCCACTTAGGTCATTTTTCCTTTTTAATTTTAAAAAAATTTTACTTACAGAGAAGCTGCAAAAATGTTATGAAGAATTCCTATTATGCTTTCAGATTCCCCAAATGTTAATGTTTTAGTTCTTACCATACTTGATCATATTCTTTCTCTTCTATCTACGCACACACACACACACACACACACACACATACACGCACATGTATATGTATGTATAGATATATGTGTATATAAGTTTTTTTCTGAAAACTTGGGAACAAATTACAGACATGATGCCCCTTTAACTCTAAATATTTCATTGCATATTTACCAAAGCTAAGGACATTCTGCTATGTAACCAGAAGTACAATGGTTAACATTCATTCTCATAAAAATCTGGATATTACCCGTGATTCAGTGATCTTAGCAGATCTTTTTCAAATTTCGCTCATTGTCTCTTTTCTGGGCCAGGATCACACTTAGTTGTCATGTTTCACAAGTCCCCTTGGTATACTCTGTCATACTTCCTTCCATTTTCTTTCCCTTTATTTTTTTATCTTTCATGAGCTAGAACTTTTTGAAGATTATAGCCCAATTATTTTGTAGAATATCTCATCTCATGATTAGATTCAGGCTTGGCAAGAACACCAGAGAAGGGCTGTGTTCTCCTCAGCACATCAGATCAGGAGGCACTTAATGTTGATTTGTGTCATTACTCATGGTTGTAACTTTGGTCACTTGGTTAAGGCAGTGTCTGCCGGTTCTCTTTACTTTAAAATGACTATTTTCCCTTCCTAATTAATAAGCGTTTTGTGGGGAGATACACTGAGACTATGGATGTAACTTTCTATGGGATGACTATTTTTCGCTCCCAGTAGACCTCATTAGGAGTGTAAAGCAAGTGTTGATGTGACTTGCTTTCTTAGGCAGGTCGCCTTTGGGTGTGAGTATGGTGGATAATTTGTGTGCCAGAGTGGAGGCACATTTGTGATTTTGGGTGATGGGACCATGTGAAATGGCTCGGTGGAAAACGGTGATGCCTTAAGTTATTTTTGATCACCGTTTTCTCAAGAAAGAGAAAATACATGGGTGAATTGCAGAGAATACACACACTTAAACAGATCCTGGCTTTTACTTACTGTAGTAAATTGCATGGGCTCTTTTTTCCCTCCTGCCTTTGTTTTTACTTAGAGGATTCTAAAGAAGGAAATGCAAAAGTGGCAACATTGTAAGAACAACCCTCCTGGTGCTAAAAAAAAATGCTGTGGTCAGTTGGGGCACACGAGCCCGGAGAACAAGAATAGCCTGGTTCCCGTATGTTAACATGATGTTCTGATCAGCTTTTTAAATGACAGACATTCACAGCCTCCTAAGATAGCATCACTAGGACAGTAATAGCGCAGTTGTGCAGAAAGTGTTGGTACAGTATTACAGTGGTCGGACCAGCTGGTCTTCCAGTATTCTCATCCGTATCTTTCTTTTTGACCCACCAACTTTTCTCCAAGAGACTTAAGCTAAATTTCAGAGAAAGTAGTCTTGAGCTAACATTCTCAGAAGCCTCTCTAGAATCTGTTTAGAAATCTTTGCCAGCCTGTGGCATTTTGTCAGGGAGGGTGTTATCTATAGGAGCAGGAGTTCTTTATAGCCTTTAGCTGCCCAGGCAGTCATGGGTGGGCAGAGGAGATCATTTTCTTTCATTCTCTTCCTTCTTACCCAGAACAGAAAAACCAGAATCCCAAATTTCCTATTAGAGTAGGCTTTTAAAAATAAAAAAACATGAACTGCCATTAAGGCAGGCACCTGTATCCTATCCATGTGTAGTTCACAAACACCACTTTCTCTGCCTGTTAGATTTTGTCTTGAAGATTCTGGCCTTTCAGCCTCTCATCTTTTTAGTCCTTTTTCTGTCTTCATATCTCCTTACAGGTCAGTTTTTATCCAAATCTAGAATTGAATCACCACCTGCTATGGGGCCAGGGATCGGCACCCCTCCTGTCTTGCTTTTTCCTAAAGTTCATCTTCAGTCAACCTGCCTCATCACATGGATGTGTATAGCCCTGTATCTCAATTATGGAAAAACTATTGATACAATATTACTTATTGCGGAATCATAGGTTCCTTAGAGTAGGCATATCTCTTTCCTATCCAGTGCTGGCATACCCTCCATTCAACTCCTAAGAGGAATTTTTTTCAGCTCTGTTAAGCATGACCAATAACAGAGAGTTCAGTACTGGAGAAGGCAAACATTTCTAGGATTGAAGGGATTTACCCTGTTGAGCTATAATCTGCTTACCTGTAACTTCTACCCATTGGATCCACTTTTGCCTTCCAGACTTAAACATAGCAGCTCTTTCCATATTTGAAGCACCTCACTTATTCTCCTGGAGCAGCCCTTTCTCTCTGTAAATGTGGCCCAGAATTAAGTGGGAGGCTTTGGTTCCCAGAGATATGCCCATTTGTTACGCTGAAGTATAAGGCATTTCCTCTGAAGGGAATGTTAATGCAGAGCATTCAAGCGTCGTACAATGACAACTCCAGGGGTGCAGGAGAAGGATGGAGGGCGAAATAAAGTGATGAGAGGTAGTTAGCAAGATCAGTGGAGAGCAGATCTGTAAAAGAAGAAAGGTAAGTTCAAGTTCCTGACTAATCCAGGGCGGAGCCCAGTCATGCCGAGGATTTGATTTTCAGATGACAGGAGTTTTTCTTTTTGCCTTAAGAGTCAAGTCCATGTAATGGAGTAAGGAAGAGTACAGGAACGCCTCCCTGTACCTTGTGGCCATGTTCCTGAAAAATTATACAGGTCCACTTCTTATCAGTCAAGTCCCATTTCCTCAGGGATTCACTTTATCATTTCAGAATTATTTTATCTTCACTGCTGATTAATCTGTG